TTTTTTTTTTTTTTTTTTTTTTTTTTTTTTTTTTTTTTTTTTTTTTTTTTTTTTGTAAACTCACAGTACAATCAATTCCACTAAGATCATTTTAATGTTTTTGTGAGCGTGCAAGAAAATATTATAGCCTTACAGATTATAAACTCAAAAAATACAAAATTAATTAGTTAAAATTATTAATAAATTATTCTCATTGATTAATTCAATGTCATTCTACTCTTATTAATTCAAGAAAATATTATTAGCTCTTATGGATGAACTAAGAACATGGACAAAGACCAAGCAAAGTCTTTATAAAATCCATTCAAGAAGAAAAAATAAAATAAGGGTGAGTCGTCATTTCCATCCTAGTATAAGTAAAAAATATATATATATATATATCAATAAAATATTATAAAATTTGTCTTATAGTATCATTAAAATTTGTTCAATCCATATGTGATAAAGTACCAATAAGAAACAAGGCCTGTTCGATTAGCCAAAAGCGAGTATTCCACATTAGATAATGGCACAACCAAAAGTCAGTATTTCATTGAGATCGTAGCTTAATTTCTTCGGGTGCATGACGGTGAAGTTCTGGGATGGTCTTAGGTCGCGGAATAGGAAGTCACAAACAATAGATTATTTCAAGATTTGTAAGGGTGGGTGGTATAAAAGAAGATGATATCAGAGAAGAACCTCGTTGGCAATGTACGAAACATGTAGAGAGTGGAGATTTCGTTGTTTAATGTATGAAACATGTAGAGAAGTTGTTATGAATGTGTAAGAGTTCAAGCCCTACTAGCATATATTGTTTGTTTTAGCTCATTACGTATCACCGTTAGCCTCACAGTTTTAAAACTCGTCTACTGGAGAGAAATTTTCACAACCTTGTAAGGAATGCTTTGTTGCCCTCTTCAACTAATGTGGAATTTCATGGGACCCTATGCGAGGATTGTGAGATCTTACATCGGTTGGAGAGGGGAGCGAAACATTTCTCATAAAGTTGTACAAACCTCTCCTTAGCATAGCGTTTTAAAAACCTTGAGGGGAAGCCCGAAAGGTAAAACTCAAAGAAGACAATATTTGTGAACAGTGAACTTAAACGGTTATAGAACGAGCTAAAAACAAGAACAAAGAGAAAAAAAAATCCTTTAAAAACAAATTTAAGAACAAAAAAAAGGAAACAAGGGTGAGTCAACATTTCAATCGTATAAAAAGAATATCAAGTAAAATAGTTTTAAAAAATACTTTTTGATATTTTATTAAACATGTGTGAACCAACTATGATCAGTAATTTCCAAGAAACTTTCACAACTTTCTTGACTTTGATGCTTCTGGTTTACTCGCATGGTGGGCTCCAAAGTTTCTAGTAATATATCAAAAGAAATTCAAAAGGCAAAGCCAAGGAAACTGTCAAGAAATTCCACCAACACTCATTATGTCTTCTACTTATATCATCAAAATTTTACCCAAACTACTTTCAATAAAACAGTCTACATTCAAGTGTTTCTCCAACATTTTAGAAATTATTTTTACTTTCTGATTGGCTCTTCCATTGCTATGGCAGAATCATCGACTTTGTTTCCAAATTTCAAGTGGAGTTATGATGTGTTTTTGAGTTTTAGAGGAGAGGATACTCGATCCAATTTCACCAGTCATCTTGACATGGCTTTGCGATAAAAGGGAGTCAACGTCCTCACAA